ATAATTTTTTATTTTAAATTCAACCACTAAATTTGTATTGAAAATTTTAGTGGCGTTCAAATATTAGTATGTAAATATTTCAATGTCAAAATTCTAGTAATAAAAAAATTTCAATACCTAATTTTTAATTATATGATATAATATTTTTAAATATTGTTCTTAATAGTAAAATCTGATAAGTCATTTATAATACAATATAATTTTTTTTTGAAAAAAAAAATTCTAAATTGAACATAAATCAATCGAAAATTTATGTTCCGAAACATTTTTTTTTTAATTTAATTATTGAGGTATGCACAGATTCAACGCGAGTGTTACATATTATTAACAACAAAAATGAAGATGTTTTGATTGTGACAATCCACATTCAAGTCTTGATTGAATTTTTAATTCGAGTTAATAAATTTTTTCCATAGTCCTAACCAAATTTTTAATAGTCATAAGACCATAAAATTTTCTAGGATAAATTACACTGTTCTCCCTTGAAGTTTCTGACAAATACAGTGACCTCCTCTATAGTTTTAATAATTACAGTAACCTCTCCTACATTACCTAACATTCTCCAGATTTCTCCTTTCTGTCAAATTGGAACTAACGGGGTTGCTTTTTCTGTAATAAATGACTTTATTACCATTCCTTTTAAAATATTAAAAAATATTTTTAAATTGGAGGACATGTTTGGAAGAAACAAAAAACATTTGAAATAGTATTTTTGGATTTATTTTTTTAAAATATTAAAAAATGTTTAAGAAAATTTTATTTTTTATTTTAAATATATAAATTTTATTTAAATTTTTTTATTGTAAATATTTTATTTTATTTTGTAAATATTTTAATTTTTGAAATTTTAATATTTTAAACTCAAAACACAATTTCACACTCTAATCGTAACCAAATACATAATTCGAAATTCTATATTACTTTCAAAACTCTACACTCAAATCGTAACCAATACATAACAAAAAAAATTAAAATATTTAAAAATATATTTATAAAATAAAATAAAATATTTAAAATAAAAATTATGTATTTAAAATAATTTTTTTTTAATTTTTTTAATATTTAAAATATTTAAAAAAATATCACATAAATGTATGAAATACAGTGCACATTAAAATAAATAAATAAATATTTAAATTATAAAATATTTACCCCAAAAAAATAAATCTAAAAAATTTTAAAATACAACTCAAAACCCTTTTCAAAACTTATAACCAAATTAATTTTCTCTTTTTAAAACTCTTAACTCAAAATACGACTCCACACTCAAATCATGATTCTAAAAATAATTTTAGAAAGTAAAATAATTTTTTTAATTTTTTTTTTAAATTTTAAAATAGAGTTTTGAAAAAAGTTTGGTTTTGAATTTTGAAAAGAGTTTTAAATTGAGTTTTGAGTTGTGTGTTTGATTATAAGTTTTGAAAATAATTTATTTGAAAAAAAAAATTATATTTGTTTTTGATATTTTTTAAATATATAAATTATTTTTTTAGACTAAAATGACAAATTATTTGACCATTTATTTAAAATAAAAAAAAAATTAAATAAAAATTATATATTTAAAATAAAAAATAAAATTTTCTTAAACATTTTTTAATATTTTTAAAAAATAAATCCAAAAATACTGTTTCAAATGCTTTTCGTTTCTTCCAAACATGTTTTCCAATCCAAAAGCAATTTTTAATATTTTAAAAAGAAGGGCAATAAGGTCATTTATTATTAAAAAAAAGTAACCCTGTTAGCTCCAATTTGACAGAAGGGGGGAATCTGGAGAATGTCAAGTAAAATAGGAGAGATTGTTGTAATTGTTAATGTATATGTGGTATTCCTAAATATATTAGGTATTGATTTCCTAGATATATTTAGGAATAGCCATAATTAGATTTCTAATAGGATACTTTTTCTCATAATTAGATTTCTAGTAGGGTAATCTTTCTTAGCCTATGTATACAAGTTTTCTATTGTATAGAATATATTCAACTCTACAAATCATTCAATACAATATATATTATTTTCTCTCTCTCTCTCTCTCTCTCTCTCTCTCTCTCTACCATTCTAACATGGTATCAGAGTTAAGTTAAAAACCTAGTATTTTTGCTTCACCGGCGGGTGACAACCTCGCCATGGCCGCCCGTTGGACCTCAACCTATTCCGCTATCATATTTTCTTATCAATAATGTTTCGTGGTGATCTCTTCTTTTATCCGTTGGTTTATTCCTACCCTAAATATCTCTATCATTTTTTATTTTTTTTTTGTGCTTCTGTTCCACTCTGTCATTCCCGCTGCTTCAACCTCAAATAGGTATCTATCTTCACACCTATTTGAGTTTGAGGGGGCGTATTATACCTATATCATGGTGAGTATGGTGATATACCATGTAAACCACCTAAGCCCCAAACCACCAATAAGCCGTCTCATTGGTGCACTATCTAAGCCGTTTCTTTGGCTCACTCCTTAAGCCACCCTTTTTGGCGCACTTTCTAAGCCGCCACATTGGCACATTACCTAATTCGTCTCCTTTTACTGTACTCTTTAAACCGTCTTCTTGATGCACCTCCAAAGTCGCCCCTGGCGCACTATCCAAGCCATCCTCTAGCGTACTCAGTTATCTGTTGTCATCATCGTTCAGCACCACGTCATTAGTTATGTGTGTGCCACGCTTGCTGGTTCAACATCCAGTTCTCTACATCGGTCCGGCACAACCCTTTTAAATCTGTCTCTACATTGGTCCGGCATGACCCCTTTAAACTGTTCCAACATTAATTCTGGTTAGCTACTACATCGGTCCGGCATGACCCCTTCAAACTGTCCCGACATTGATTCCGGTTAGCTCTTACATCGGTCCGGCATGACCCCTTTAAACTGTCCTAGCATTAGTTTCAGTCAGTTCTTACAATGGTCTGACATGACCATAAACTGTTTCCCGGCTTTAGTTCTGACATCTGATCTATTTCAAGCGCCCTTACGCTCCCGTTCAGATTTTGCAATCTATTTGCCTTTAATTTTATTTAGCTTTATTTTATATTTTAGTTTCTCTCTCCAAACTCAAGATGTTTATCCTCCTTGAGTTTGAGGGGAGATGTTAATGTATATGCGGTATTCCTAGATATATTTAGAAATAGTCATAGTTAGATTTCTAGTAGGATATTTTTTCTCATAATTAGGTTTCTAGTAGAGTAATCTTTCTCAGCCTATATATACAGGCTTTCTATTGTATAGAATATATTCAACTCTACAAATCATTCAATACAAATCATTCAATACAATACATATTATTTTCTCTCTCTCTCTCTCCACTATTCTAATAGTAATTATTGAAAGTACAGAAGAGGTCGCTGTATTTTTCAGAAATCTCAGAGAAGGTCTGTGCAATTTACCCAATTTTATAGCTTAAATTGCTCAAGTTAAATAGATTTTGCTCTAAATTTTATAATCTAAAAATCCGTACAACGTTTGTAAATATCGTTATCACATATATCTCCAAATTCAAAGATAAAAATAACTTTATAATTTAAAATTTTATAAATATTAATATATATCATTGTCATATATATATATATATATATATATATTTATTTATTTAACCGTGCATAGCATGAGTTAAATGTTAGTGTATATATATAAATGTTAGTGTATATATATAGGGATTGGACTGTCTCCAATTTAGATCTGGGACAGTCTGGTCCAATTCGGCCCATTTGACTCACTTTTGGGTCCCTTTTCGATAATCTGAACCATTCACATTTAAGGGTTTCTTGAGTACATTACTTCTGTAAAAAATCACGTCGATCGAATAATAGATACAATATATTCGAATCACTTTTGTCTGAAAAAATAGATAGTTAGAAAATTAACAGTTCGTAAAAAAGTGATCCGAATACGGCCTCGTTTGGGAAAAGGCTAATTTAGTAACTTTTTAGCTATTTGGCTAAAATATGAGCTAAAAAAAACTAATATGTTTGGGATGACTTTTTGACTTTTTATGAAAAGATGTGCAAAAAGTAGAAAGAAAAGAGAATCTTTGACTTTTTGGCATAGGTTGTTGGCTTTTTGGCTAATTTAGGGTTGGTTTGGCAAGGGCTCATTGGGCTTTTTTGGCTCAATGAGCCATAAAAGACAGAATAGGCTCATGAGCCACAACAGACAAAACATCCCATCCAACCCCAAAATCTTACACTCTTCTCTCACAAAAAAATCAAAAAAGCCAAAAAGTTAAAAGCCCTTCCCAAACTAAGCTTTTGAGCCCAGGCTTATATAGTCAAAAAAGTCAAAAATCCAACCCACTTCCCAAACGGAGGCTAGTAATTTTTTGACTTTTTGGCTAAAAATGAGAGTTTCCAAACGAGGCCTAGTATCTGTTATTTGATCGATGTGATTTTTTATTAGAATAATATACTCAACAAATCCTAAAGTGTGAACGGTTCAGATTATTGAAGAAGGGTCCAAAAGTGAACCTAATGAGTCGAATGTACTCAATAAATTTTAAAATGTAAACAGTTCAAATTATCAAAAATGAGTTCAAAAATAAACTCAATAAGTCGAACTAAATCCTCCACTCAAGATGATGGACGGGAGGCAAACCACTGCCATATATATATATATATATATATATCTTTTCCTTTTATTTTTCTTAAGTTATGTTTGAATTTTAAGATTATAATATAAAGGGAAAAGAGAATGGAACCACCGCTCCATTTCATTTTTTTATTTTATTTTCTTTTTCTCTACAAAATCCCTCATCAGTCCAAGATCAAAACACATCCAAATAAAAACTTCTAATTCAAACCATGAAAGAGGGAAATTTTTAATTTTTTAAAATACTAGTACGCCCGAAACTCAAAACACTTTCCCAAGCCCACAGTACGTCGCTGTTAATGGATTAGACCCATGGGCCTTTAGATTACACTGTTCACAAACAACTGGGCAGATACACAAACAAAAAAATGCCTCTCTTCTGTTTCCAAATCTAGAACCCTCATAGAACCCTAAAAATTCCCATCTCTCTCTCTCTCTCGAGCAACAATGGCTCTATCCAAACCCACCTTCTTCACCCACCTCAAAACCCTAACCAAACTCCACCATCAACACCACCCGCCGCCGTCCTTCATCTCTCTCCGCCTCCTCTCTTTTGCCACCCCTGAAGAAGCCGCCGCCGAACGCCGCCGCCGCAAACGTCGCCTCCGCATTGAACCCCCTCTCAACTCCCTCCGCCACCAACCCCAACAACAACAACAACCACGCTCTCCTCCAAACCCAAACGCCCCCAAAATCCCCGAAAACGTCTCAGTCCTCACCGGAAACCGCCTCAATCTCCACAACCGAATCCTAACCCTAATCCGCCAGAACGACCTTGACGAGGCCGCCCTCCTCACTCGCCACTCCATCTACTCCAACTGCCGCCCCACCATCTTCACCTGCAACTCCGTCATGGCCGCCCTCCTCCGCCAGTCCCGCTACTCCGAACTCCTCTCCCTCCACCGCTTCATCACCCAGGCCGGCGTCGCAGCCAACATCGTCACCCACAACCTCCTTATCAACGCTTACATTGATTGTCGCAAGACTGACACTGCTTTAGAACACTACAAACAGTTGATTAATGATGCTCCCTTTAATCCGTCGCCGACCACTTATCGAATCCTAATCAAAGGCCTTGTTGATAATGGTAAGGTTGAGAGGGCAATGGAGTTGAAGGATGAGATGTTATCCAAGGGTTTTACAGCTGACCCAGTTGTTTATAACTATCTGATGTTGGGTCATGTTAAGAATTCCAATGCTGATGGTGTTTTTGCTCTTTATGATGAATTGAAGGAGAAATTGGGTGGGTCTGTTGAGGATGGGGTTGTGTATGGGTGCTTGATGAAAGGGTATTTCTTGAGAGGAATGGAGAAGGAGGCTATGGATTGCTATGAGGAAGCAGTGGGGGATGATTCGAAGATTAGGATGACTGCGGTGGCATTCAATTCGGTTTTGGATGCATTGAGCAAGAATGGGAAATTTGACGAGGCATTGAAGCTGTTTGATAGAATGATGGCTGAGCATAATCCACCTAGGAAGCTAACTGTTAACTTGGGGAGCTTTAATGTGATGGTGGATGGGTATTGCGCCGAAGGGAGGTTTCAAACTGCAATTGAGGTTTTCCATAACATGGGTGAGAAGAGATGTAGGCCTGACACTTTGTCTTACAATAATTTGATCGATCAGTTGTGTAACAATGGAATGTTGGCCGAAGCAGAGGAGCTTTATAAAGGGATGAGTGAAAAAGAGGTGAGCCCGGATGAGTTTACGTTTGTTTTATTGATGGATCATTGCTTTAAAGAGAATCGTCCCGATGATGCTGCTGGGTATTTCGGAACCATGGTCGATTCCAAACTGAGGCCAAACCTGGGGGTTTATAATAAGTTAATCGAGGGACTTGTTAAAGTGGGGAAAGTTGAAGAGGCTAAATCATTTTATGATTTAATGGTGGGGAAGCTTAAGATGGATGATGCAAGCTATGAATATATGATGAAGGCATTGTTTGAGGTTGGGAAGGCCGATGTGGTACTTGAAATGGTTGGTGGATTGCTGAGAGAAGATGGGATTGAATTTAGTGCAGAGTTGCAAGAGTTTGTTAAAGGGGAATTGAGCAAGGAAGGGAGGGAGGAGGATTTGGTGAAGCTTATGGAGGAGGTAGAGAGAGAGAAAGCTGAAGCCGCAGCTAAAGAGGCGGAGGCTGCAGAAAAAGCTAAGGCCAGTGCAAGAGCTGCTGTTTCTTCTTTGCTACCATCTAAGTTGTTTGGGACTAAGGAAAGTGAGGAAAACTCGGCAGCTGCCACTGGAAATGCTGATGAGGCTACCTCTGTGAATGAAGAGGTGAAATTAGGGAAGGAAGAGAGTGTTCCTGAAACTCTTTTAGAGACTGGTACTGGTGGGGTAATTCCGGATGAAGAAGCAATGAAAGGTTAGAACCTGGTGAGGTGGAGTCTAAAAGTGATGAAGAAGCAATGAAATGATCTTTTATTGTCCTTTTCTTAATTGAAAGGATTTTAAAGTATGAACCAAATTTTATGTAATTAGATGGAAATGATCATCTTGATTTGTTTACTTTATCGTCTCTTGATATTTGAGGAGTTAGTGTGTTGAAGCTTTTCAAATTTGTCAGATTTCTTGCACAGCATTAGAGCATGTGTCACCTCGCACTATGGAAGCAAGAACTGGAATTTTAATGTTAACGTGGTACTGATACTTAAATATCCTATGTAATTTGATAGTTAGTAGCAGTCCTGTGTGATGTTCTCTAACCCTTCACTAGTGATGGATTAGAAGTTGTATAATTTCTGTCGAAAGGAAGAGAGGGTTGGAAAAGGCGTATAACATTTGCCAATGAAGATGAACTGTCTGACAAAGTTAACAAGCCTGTGATCTTATTGGAAGCTTCGATGGGTGTAGAATATGTAAATCTAAATCTTTTCAAGCTTTATTCTCTCTTGAAGAATTCATAGACTGTTTATCTGATTGGAATGTCTACCATAAGGTCCAGTAGCTTTTGTTGGCCTCGTTCAGATGAGATCAAATTGAGATTTTTGCCTATGGTTTTACTATACAAGATATGCTATTTTGAGCAAAATTAGGCTAGCAAGAAGGTATTCCATGTTTAAAGCCTCACACTGTGCATCTTTCATAGTGTGCCCAATCCCGACCCTCGAATATGTTCGAAGATCTCAAAATGATCTTCCAGTTCCGGAATGAATTCACAAAGCTCTGTTTCCATCGAGAGTTGAATAGAGTTTTCCTTTCCATTGAGAGCTGAATAGAGTTTTCCTCGAGTTGAATAGAGTTTTCCTTTCCATAGAGAGTTGAATAGAGTTTTCCTTTATTTCGACCGGAGAATCTAACGGAGACATTACCCCAAGGGTTTGTAGGTCTGAGGATCAATTGGTAGTTCCTATAAAACCGATCACTAAAATAACCATAGAAGGGGACAAAGCTAAGCGGAAACTATTAGCCCCACATGAGGTTTGTGAATATGTAATTGTTTGATAATGAGCAAGAGATATTCCTCTTTCTGTGAAACAAAAACTATGAATCAGAATAGAAGAGCTTGCCCCACCTATAAGTAATTATATCATAGTAGCCTTGTTAGGTGTCAAGTGGAACTGAGAGGCACCAGTAGACTCGAACCCCCGAACTTGAAACGAAAGTCGAGGGACTACTCGGTAAGAAGAAGGGTCAAATGATTCAGACAATTGTCACGCTGGCAGAGCAGGGAGCCTACCGGGAAGATTGGGGCAATGATGTCAAATTTGAGTGATTGAAAATAGATCCTATTTTATGTTCATTGATAGAATCTGTTTTTTTGTTTCAGATTTATGAAATTAGATAATGAGAAATGTATCATTAAAAATGAAATGACAGAATGCTTTATTTTTTTTGGATCTACCCCTGGATAATCTTTTTGGTTGGCAGAGTACCATTTGATTGCCAGTCACTCCAATGAAAGAAAGGAAGAATGCTTTCTTACACTAAATAGTATCTGTTTGTAAGGATTGTATACTCTCACTCCAATGGAAGAAAGGAAGAAAGCTTTCTTACACTAAGGCCTAGTTTGGGAAGACTAAATAAGTGCACTTTTTGACTTTTTATGAAATATGGGTTGGGTTTGAGTTGGGTTTGAAGTGATGTGTTAGAGAGGTGATGTGGCTTAAATAAGGGTTGGTTTGGGATGTCCTAAAAAAGTGCACTTTTTGACTTATTGGTGGGTTTGGGTTGGGTTGGGTTTGGGTTGGGTTTGATGTGATGTGTTAGAGAGGTGATGTGATTTAAATAAGATGATGTGACTCAAATAAGATAGTGATTTTTTGACTTTTTGACTTATTTAGTACATGCCAAACTAGCCCTTAAATAGGATAGTGACTTTTTGACTTTTTGTCTTTTTTTAATCATGCCAAACTTGGCCTAAATAGTATCTATTTGTAAGGAGTGTATGAGCGATCCCCTGCACGCGCACTGAGAAGTAGTGCATTAAAACTCTCCCTATAGTGGGAGAGAGTTAGGTGAGTCGTTATAATGAGAAGTACATGCCTTAGCTTATGGGTAAAATAAAGAGAAGTGTCCACTTTCCCCTTTTGGCCACTAACGTGTGTGGTGCCGCTCGAGAGTTCAGGACTCTTAATTCGTCCATAGGATCACAACTTGCATTAAAATGGGTAGGTCTTCTCTAACTGTTCAGACTGTTCTAATCCAGGTTTCTTTAGATGATTATATGAGCAAGCAAGGGACAAAAACTTGCTGAGCATGTTCACATTTTTAATTAGCAGATGCACACCAGCATTGGTCATAGTTTGAATATTTTACTCTTGCTAGACTGGGAGATACAAGTGGATCAAGAGCATATTAGTCACACTTCTGAGGTGCTCTGTCAACTTTTGTTGCACTATCAGGAATGCTGGAGTTCATGACACCATGAACTTACACTTTGATCTTTCATTATGTTCATTTTTAAGGCTACCACCAAATTTCTAACAAAACTGAAATGAGGTCACAATTTGTTCATGCAAGAATCAACAAGATAAAAGAACAATCTCATCACATTGATCATTAAGTTACACCGACTTTTTGAGTGCAATACCTCACCTGGTGGCCGGAAAGGAGAGTATCCGGAGCAAAATAAGAGAGGCCGGCATAAACAAATTTATAAAAGCTAAAACTTTTGGCAACAGTGCACATATCAAGCTTTCCGATACATAACACAGAAGAAAAGTTTGTGATCATGGGTACAACACCACAGAGACAAACACACAAATCATGAAAATGCCTCTCATATATATCACCTGCCTCAGCTACAAAGGTTTGGTATGCACACTCCGGCATCTGAATTCTGTTGTTCCTTCCATATCCTCCCTGTAACTCTCAGTTTCAGCTCCTTCCTGTCTCCACCGGAGAAGAAAAGTGCCATGTTTCGCTGGATGATAAGCCCATCATGACTGTCCCTGACCTTCCGGTGGCTATCCCGGATGCTTCGTGGGGTGCCCTCCCATATGAGCTTCCTGCCATTTGCCCCAACTTCCAGACTGTAGCTGTAATTGCGGGCCTCAGTCTCATCACCCATAAAACGGAGGAATGCCATGTACACTGGAGCCATGCCAAGCTGGAATGCTTCAAAGTGAAGACAGAAATATTGGCCAAAACAATGGAAAACCTGACAAAACAAGTAGGAGATGAGCAAGGTTCAGTTACTCAAGCATATTGACATAAGGACAATAGCCAATGGTGAAAATTGAATTTGAATTGCACATGTCGTACTATAATATAGGCAAGCCAATATTGTTCAATACAATCACACACACACACACACACACATATATATATACATATATATTGTATTAAAGAGTTGGTTTAGCAGAACAAGAGTTTAATGGTTTATCCAGTTAAATCTTCAACTAAGCAAGTTATCACGGATCAAAATCATCATCGACCAAACACATTTAGCACAAAATCAGGATAGACTATACTTCCAATCACCATAGAAACATATAAAACACACCTGAAACTGTTTCTATATCATTAGAAAACAACCAAGCAGATAGATTATCAACACCTTAGAAAACAATGTACATGTAACATGATTTTATTTCCATGCCATTTCAATCATCCCTCCTAAAGAATAAAATGACCACAATAGTCCAGTGTCAACTAATTGCATGGCACAACCACAAAAGAGTCACTAATATAATTGCACTGTAGGTCACAAAGTCCTTGTTGGTAAAAGGTCTGGTTTGATCCACAATAAGATGTCTTAGAACATATATAACGATAAATAAAAAAAGGATTGTCATCTATTACTACCACAATTTTGCTATTGGGAAATCAACTTTGAGATCTGGAGGCAGTAAGCACTTACTGTTAGCATCCAAGTGGCATTTTCTACTTCACGGGGATTGGATTTTACATAGCGATGATTGAATGTGCATCCTGTGTGCATATCCACCTTGTGGTCATCTCTCAGATGGGTAACTAGAAAAGGAATATCACCAGCAGCAGAGCACTCCGAACCAGCATATGGACAGTTGTATGGTCTGAAGTTGCACACCGCCTCATGCTTGAGCTTGCTGTAATATGGAAATATCTCTGGGCATCCCAAAGAATAATACTTGCATGGAAGTTCAAGTGATTCTGCAACTTTCTCAAGTGCTAGGCACCTTATATCGCCCAGCTCCTGCCTACAAGTCGGGCATCGATTGTGCACTCTTGTTTTACAGGTAGAACACAATGTATGTCCATTATGACACTGCATTAATTTGTCACGAAAATAGCAGCTGAGAAATCATGCTTTCCAGGCAGTCATATAGCATCAAAATAATAAATTAAAAACCTTGAAAGGAGGGAGGGAAAACTCAAATTTTGTTCTTTTCTGGTCAACATCACATTCTCTATCCAATACATTCCAGAAAGACATTTCATTTGATGCAAGAATACCACACTGACTTTTAACCAAAGAGCAGGGGCAAAAAAGAAAAAGAAACCAAAAAGAATGAAATATGAGAGAAGATGCCAAAGCATGCAAGAGCAAAAATGTCAGCCACATAATTTTTTGCTCGAGTAAAGGACAATATCATGAATTTGCATTAATCTATAGAATAATAGCAGGGGACCCTAGACTACAACAAACCAATAAGTGTTAGCATCCACATGCTAGTAATAGCATAAAGAAACACAGTAACTAGAAAAACAGAAACTAGATCCCACTACTATCAATTCCTCTCCAACATCTTTGAATTCAAAAGAGCCTAATCAGCTATTGAATTATCCAAAGCTCCTCATGGAATTTCAAGACACAATGTGCTGATGACATCTAATACTATTAACTAAACCAAACAATTAATTAGAAACTCTCTCAAAACTGGAACTTGTTCCAGTTATAAGTCACATGTTTCAACCTAACAAATAAAACAAATAACAAAAGCCCATAATTACAGCCAATCATTACAATAGGTAGAGGCCATCAACCCCCTGCCCTGCCTTTTACCCCCCGCAGGCCAAAAGCCAACCAAAAGGCCTAAGTTTTGTAGAACAGAAAATCACACATGACTTGAGTATCAGGTAAAACACATGGAAGGGGAAGGAACCATTGCAGTGCAACAAAAAATCCTCAGGGTCCTTCAGACGCAGCTGAGCCAAGCAACATTCATTACCACTCCTTACTAGAACTACGATCAACAGAAGACGCAACTGCCTTAATGATGTACGGTGTGTCATGGTTCAACGAAAGGTCACTTTCATTCTTCCATGCTGGATACCACCATCTGAAAAGTTACTTTTTCTATCTTTACTTTTCTTAACTATGAGTAGTAACTGTCCTTTTTACCAAATTACATGAATACTTGATAGGGTATCACCATTTATTGGGTTCCAAATTTGGCAAACTTGGAGGTTGATTTTCTAGCCAGTAGAGGACCCTCATTTACCTGTGAACTCCTTCCCATCAAGTGGCATGTCAAGGGGGCCATTATGAAGAGTTGACTCTGCTGTTATTGGAGAGTGACTCTCTTTTGTGGTTCCTTGTATTAACCACAACCTTCTCAAGCCTTGAAGATATTAATATCTGCTTAGAGAAATACTAGATCTCATTAGGGGTCAGATACCACAATCTTGCCTTCGAAGTTTGGTTTGAGTAAAATGTTAACATTCTAGCTGGTAGAAAACCACCATAATTTTTTATCACGGCGGTTGCAAGCCTTCTTTAGTCTTTATTATTTTATAAATGTTTTTTCTTCTTTTCCTTTCAGGAAATCTACCCTCCCATCTCTCTTGTTTACTACTAAGATTCTATTGTACACGAGTATAGCTTTATGCAAGCGTGCGTTCATGCTTCTATCACTCTTTTCTCAATTTGAAGTGAAGGAATCTGTGGTTTGAAACTAGCTTGTCAATTCCAGAAATATAAGTAATCTAAATGAGCCTGTCGACATTGGGCACTTTATTTGCAGACTTTGTTAAATGGGTCTCGGGTGCAAGGGTGTATGTCTAAGTGTAAGATATGTTAAATGGGTGTCAGGTGCAAGGCTTTATGTCTAAGTGTAAGGTTTATCTAATTCGCATGTCAAGGACACGACAAGGCTATTTCATATTTCATAAAAATTTCTCTTATTATTTAAGATTAGAATAATGTTTACAAAATAAAATACAGTATTTTCAAATATAAAGCGGAAGTCTTATAAATAATTAAATAGTAAACTTAACCCGTGTTACATGGACTCTTCTACTTTTCCGGAGTGTACCAATGTCAATAGGATATGGCAAGGGTAAGAGTATCTGACACCTGTACCCAATTTAGACATTTAGATCCTCTAATTTTATATGATATTTGAAGAAGAAGAAGCTTACATTTGGTAGTATACATATTTGTTAGGTGCATGTCTAATTAGGTATATCAGACACATATCCCTTAACCAAGTGTCAAGTGTACAACACAGATTCTCTACGAATTTAGAAAGAGTCCAATGTACATAATTTGCACGATATGGAAAAAAGGTATGAATGGGTTGCCAATTCTGGGTTGACACAAAATCCAACAAGCATGAGCCATATGACACCTTATCCTGTTCAAACCAAACATGGCATACGGAATCCTATTAAAAAAATTTAATCAAGGGGCAAAGTTGTCCTACCCATATACCTCTGGGTGCCAACCATTGTACCAAAACTCATGTAAGTGTCAGTACTAGATATTTGTTCTAACAAACCATATAAGAAGAAGGTAAATCAAGTTAATGTTGAGCCAAAACATAGTTTTGCATTCCTACTATTTCTAAAAGCTCCACCTAGAAATAGTATATGCAAGCTCTCATTGCATCTAAGCAAGGAACTAGTCCTCTTTCATTACTAACAAAGAAACGAATGGACTTAATAATGCACTTTAACATAATAGCAACAGGCAACTAAAACCTAGACTGGTCCTATTGTGCAGTAATTTTTTCCCTTCCTCAATTCTAGTTTTGGAGAAACCACCAAGGCCGCCTATACAAAATATCAAAACATTATGTAAGTTTCAAAAACTATTTAATTAAAAATGTTCTGCATTAGATTATTTCTCAGAGTTGTTGCCCAAAAACAAAAGAAACATTTCCCATTATTTATTTATTTATTTTTTATTTTTATCTTGTCAATTTGTAGGCATCTAGTTAACCATTTTAATGCATTTATCTCAATAAGATCCACAACTATCAACACATTGCAGCCATAGAATATCTAGCACAAATCAATCAAGCAAACCAAATCAATATAAACAATCCCAATCGACGAATCCATGTCCATTCCTCCACCCTCATCTTCACAAAATTGAAACAAAACCTAACATTGTACCCACAAAATCAGAACCAATGGAAAAAAAATACAAAAACATTCCCATTTCTGTAAAAATAAGAGGAAAAAACATGAGAGAGAAGACGAACCTGATGGATTGGTGGGTACATAGAATTGGTGCAAACCGGACATTCGAGCAATTCGTGGACGCTTGTAGCAGGAGCAATTCCATTGTTGTGAGGCTTCGACGAGAATTGATGAGAATGATGATTGTGAGGATGGTGAGACGAGATCTCTTCATCTTCCATTCCATCCGAAGTCGATATGCACTCAATGTTATCTAAATCCATTATTCGTGGCCAAAAACAATTCCTAATCTCAAAATTTTGATGGGTTCGATGAAATTTCTAACACTTTCTTTCGATTTCTTTTATTTTCTTTCACTTTCTTTCATTTCTTCTTTCACGGGGGTCGATTGGAGAAAGAAGAATCAAAAGAATTTGAAAGAAAATGGAAGAGAGAGGAGAGATCGATGGATTGATTCCGAAGAACCAAACAACCCTATTCCCAGAAAAAGTGGTTCTCCTCTCTCTCTCCCTCTCTCTCTCTCTCCCTCCCTCTCTCGCGATTACTTTCTCTCTCTTCCGAATTTCAGTGAGTAGAGAGAGATAAGGATGACCGTCGAAATTTAAATTAGATTGACAAATCTACGGTTGTGATAGCCCACCCCAAAATTTTAAAATCGACCATACCCAATTATTTTTTTATAACTTCGCGGATAAATCAAATTACCAATTAATTACCATCTCTAATTTTTATTTAAATTTATCATTAAATTTAAATTTAATTAAAAAGTCTTAAAAAGTAAATTTTAACATTTTTATCAAAGTGATATCAAATAAAAGAAAAAAACAAATATTTTATCAAATGAATGGAGGTTTGATCCATTGTCAAATTTAAATTATTATTATCGTTGGATCGGATGTTCACCTAAGATAATTTAATAGTTTTTTTTATTCATGTATAGACGATTTTCAGGACATTCGCCCAGACGACCTTCAGGACATCCATTTGGACGTCCTCCTAGACAATCGGAGATGTAAAATTTTGATAAAAATTTCAATTTTAGTATAAGAGTGAACTTTATTAAATCAAACTTTTTATTATTTTTTACTCAAATCTAATAAAATTTTTGATTCAATATTGGAGATGCTCCAACTTGTCATTATGAATTAGAATGGTTCTATGGGAGCCAGAAAAAATATCTACCAGTTTATTGGGTTGTTTGCCCAAGTTCTATCTAAATTGTTTGAATTGTTCAAACAATCTTAAACAGTGATACCAAGAAATCTGAGCAACTTGAAATTCAAATCGTATATATAAAAGTATAAAATATGCATATAATTATTAGCCATTGAATTATGATAAAATAATTTAGATAGTTATTTCATATTTATTATATAAACATGTAATACAGTACAAAACTTTACCATTTCTTTTTTCTTAATAATAAATTGTAAAAATAACTGTATTACAATAATTCTTCAGTTGTTATCTTTCTTCTCTCCATCTCTCTCACATTATATAAATTGTTTATTTGGATATTATCAATAATTTATCTAAAAAAATATTAATAAAGTCTAATTTTAACAAATTAATCAACTTAGTTGCGCCAAAAAAAAAAAAAAAAAAAACCTCAAATTTTTGAACAATTCAAACAATTTAGATAGAACTTGGGCAAACAACCTCATGTGCAAATTGAATCTGGCCAGTGCTTAAAACAACTTAAGATACACTAGAACAACCTCTCAACCTACCCAAAACCCACCTGAGTTGCACCCAAATTTTTTATCAAAAAATGTGGACAAATCAATTCAGTTTTCAAGTTGGTGATTTGGTAACTTGTATTAACCCAAAAATGGGCTACTGATATCCTATTTTTTGTTATAAAGTTCCATAACTGGCAAGCTTTAATTAACATATCTTTAGGTTATTGGGTATATTTATTATGTTTTTATTCATAATTATAAGAAATAATTATTTTATGTCATTTTATGTTGGTAATATTTTTTTAATCAAATGAGTTACAACTAAATTAGACCCATGAGTTTAACTTAATTTTTTTGGATAGATTAAGATAATTAGAGTATCTCCAAGGAGCTCATTAAACCAGGCTTCTTGGCTATTAGACCATCTCTAACGTTACATTAGATGTTTTATCAAATTCAAATTTGATGAAAAACGGAAGAAATGTCAGTTCCAACGTTGTCATCAAACAAATATCAAATGGAGAGATAACCAAATATTTCATCAAATGGAGGGAGCGTTTATCATTCATCAAATTTGTAGGTGACCGTTGGGTCGGGCATTCTCCCGGATAATAGGGCTTTCTTTATCTGAATCCAATTTTTGCCCATGTCCGGAAGTCCGCCTAAACATCCTTTTAGATAATCGGGCATTTGATGAAAATTTTGAGTTTAACGTTGGAATGGGCTGTAGCAGATCAAACTTTTCATCAAATGTTTACTTAAATTTGATGAAAAGTTTGATGCAGCGTTGGAAATGCTCTTATAGCTAACATCATCTTATTTTAGTCACTCCAATGGCTTAGCTATTAGAGCGTCTCCAATCCTTACTCTTTTTTTTTTCATCAAATTTAAATTTGATGAAATAAGTATTGGTTTGTTGCTCCAACCATGACATCAAATCTATATCAAATGAAGGGAACTCCAAAACTTTCATCAAATTGTTGCAGGTAGGCGTTGGTGTTGTAGGTACATTGGATGATCAACCAGTGCTCTGGCCAATTATCCTCCCAGACAACCTCTTCCTTATAAAATTGCCCATAACTGACCAAAAGGACGGACGACTGGGAGGACGTCCTCCCAAACAACCTATGTGTCATCCTCCCAGACAACCTATGTGTCAACCAGCTTGCAAAATTGAGTAGATTTTTGCCACCAATAACAAATTTCTTTTCAACAATATTGCAAGTATAGCAACCTTTGTTTTGCAGAGGCTATAAAAATTTTGGAGAGGCTTTAAATTTGTGTAGATTTCGTAGCCATTGGTTTTCTAGGGTATTCAAATATTGCAAGTTTACCGTTGGTTTTGCAGAGACTTCATCAAAGTTTTGAAGTTACCGTTGTTGCTCTACCTATAAAATTACAATGATTTGTTTTTTATTCTCACAATATCACTACAATTTCTTCTTTTGTTTTTGTTTGTCATTGTTAACTTCAATTTTCACATGTTTATTTCACAATCTTTTTTAAATATTATTGTTATTATCACTCTGAACTTGAGTTTCTTTTATCATTTTGAATTTTTTTCACTTGCTTATTTGTACAAATTTTATCTTAAAACCATGGATGATTTTGAAATATTTAAAGAATCACAAAGTTTAGAATAGAACCATGACATAAGTATTATTTCTGAAACTTCTCGTGTTCCTCGTGATAAAGCTTTCAGTGTGGTAGAAGATGAAACTTTATGTAGATTTTGGTTGGCTGTCTCTCAAGATCCCATTGCAGGTAATAGTCAGGCCATGTCAATATTCTAGGAACGGTACTCGTTTATTTTAATTCACAATTGAATAGTCAATCAAATCGAAACAATCTTTTTTCAGCTCACCGTTGGTTTGCAATGCAAAATGCAATTAATAAATTTAGTGGTTTTTTTGAGCAAAATTCAATTGAGGCAACAAAGTGGAACAACTGAAGAAGACAAGGTAATTTTTATGGTTTTTTTGAGCATATTTATTTTATGATTTGTAGTTAGTTTTTTTATACTCACTATCTACTTCATTTTCAGTTTGCTGAAACTAAGCACATGTATCACGTAATTCAAAAAAAACACTTTACATTTTATACAAGTTGGGAAATTTTGCGCCAAAGTTGTAAGTGGGATGAACATAGAACACATTTCAAGAAACTCACACCGCCATCGAATCCATATTCAATTCCATCGCTTCAAGGTGAGGCTTTGGAACCTAACAACAATATAGATTAGGATCAACAATGTAACGCCCCCAAAATAAATGCAACTAATCCAACTCATAAGAGAAGTGAGTATGATAGAATTGGTATGCTTTCATTCATTAGAGTTCGTATTACAAAAGATAACACATGCAATATACATTCATAAATGTTCATCCTGAATCTATAGCATGTAATACCAGTTAGTAATCAACAAAATAAATGTCATATGGGCTTACATCTTTCCAAGACATTGTATGGTTACAGCAAAAGAAAGAGTCTAACTCAATACAACTTAGCCCTTGGATATACAAAACAAATAAAATAAAAGGAAACTCTTCCTCCAAGTCTCCCCAAACTACTGTCTCGGGAGAGGCATGTCTCCAACACCTGAAAATGGTTCCCAAGTAGGGTGAGCCAAAGCCCAATAGAAACATACTAACAGAATATATAAGAATTAACAAGATATAAGTATGATGCACATGTTCATTGTCCTACAACAAAATCTTTATAATTCTTTCCAAAACCATGTTATACCAAACTCGTATCTAAATTCATTTATTTTGGTTCAATAGACACCTCCACTGCATTTAACCCATCAACAGAGGATACACCTCACAAGTTTCCAACAGATAGTCATCATACAAATACATTCACTTCTATTTTCCATTTTATGGAAATTTCATCCGCGGGAATTGGCACCCATGTATACAAATGGTTTTTGGGACTTTCACCCTGGACACATAGGCCAACTTAGTTCAATGAAGTCCATCCCTTTTTTTCTCCTCAAAACATAAAGTACATCCATTTTCTCCTCCCAAATATCATACGTATATAATGTATATAATTCATAATCATATTCAATGATAATGGTTAAGGGATTAATTTCAATTCGCCTAATCCACATGCGATGTCTACAACAATCATGACTATCCTCTACTGATAGCCCAAAGCAGATGTTTCTAAACAGATATACAATCTCTAAAACAGATAAATCATCAAATTTCTATAGGTGAGTGATTAAACAAATCCAACAACACCATTCATGTATAAATTCTCATAGTTTCACATTTTCCATACCAATTTCATTATTTATACAAAATAATTATTCAAGACATTTTAGAGTAAAGCTCCTCATTTTCCAAATAACCCAAAGACCAAAGTCAACTATTTTAACACAAGATGACTTCATATCCAAACCCCATAATCATTTATATAACACCCACATAGAAACCCCTATTTTCAAACTTGAACCCAAACCCTAGGTTTGCTCAAAACATCCCCAAATCTCACCATTTTCACACAACAATCTATAACCAAGTTAAAACTCATATTAAGATGTAGAGAGTCCCTACCTCAAGTTTAGAAGATCAATGGAGCAAGGACAAAACTTCAACGATGCCGAAACCAAACTCCAATCGGATCAAAATGGAGCTCTCAAGATGCTCTACCCTTTTTCCAAAGACACTAGGGCGGAGAGATCAACGAGTCTAGGAGAAAATGTAGAGAGAGAGAGAGTCTCACTTTAGGGTTTTTGGAAGAAAAGATATGAAAAAGTGATGTAAAAAGTCATTTTCGTGATCTAATATACGCACAGTCCGCTTAAGCGCAAAAGTTGACGCTCGAGCGTCAGACACAAAAAAATTGTTCTACTCGAGTACAAGAAAGGCCGC